AGCGGCGGCAGCAGCGGTGCTCGCACGGCAGCAGCACCGGGTCCCGCACGGCGCTCCCGCAGCGCGGACACGCCGTGGCCGCGGCCAGCACGGCCAGGGGACCGCGCGAGGCGGCGGGCGGCGACATCGGCCCCGCGGACGGACGGACGGACGGACGGACGGACGGACGGACAGGGGACACGGGTGGCACCGCTGGGGACAGGCGGGGACAGGGGCGGGACACAAACACGGGACACGCGGGTGACACGAGGGTGACACGGAGGGACATCGGAATGCGGGGACAGGGAGGGGACAGGGGAGGGGACAAGAGTGGGACAGAGGGACAGGAGGGGACAGAGGGACAGACAGGGGACAGAGGGACAGGGGGACAGAGGGACAGAGGGACAGAGGGACAGGGGGACAGGAGGGGACAGGGGTGGGACACGGGTGGCACCGCTGGGGACAGGGAGGTGACAGGGGAAGGGAAAGGGGAGGGGACAGGGGCGGGACACAAACACGGGACACGCGGGTGACACGAGGGTGACACGGAGGGACATCGGAATTTGGGGACAGGGAGGGGACAGGGGAGGGGACAAGAGTGGGACAGAGGGACAGGGGGACAGAGGGACAGACAGGGGACAGAGGGACAGAGGGACAGAGGGACAGAGGGACAGAGGGACAGGAGAGGACAGGGGTGGCACCGCTGGGGACAGAGGAGGGGACAGGACGGACACAAACACGGGACAGGGACGGACACGAGGGTGACACGGGGGTGACATCGGAATTTGGGGACAGGGAGGGGACAGGGAGAGGACAGGGGAGGGACACACACGGGACACGCGGTGACACGGGGGTGACACGGGGGTGACACGGGGGTGACACGAGGGTGACACGAGGGTGACATCGGAATGCGGGGACCGGGAGGGACACGCGGGGATTTGGGGACACGAGGGTGACACGGAGCCACCTCGGAATCCGGGGACACTTCCGGGATAATTTGGGAATTTCGGAAAAATTTGGGAATAATTGGCGGAATTTGAGGACAGGAGGGGACACTGGGGACACCGGAATTTGGGGATCATTTGGGGAATAAATGAATAAATTAGGGATAATTTGGGGATAATTTGGGAAGAATTTGGGGATAATTTGTTAAGAATTTGGGAAAAAATTCTGAAGAATTTGAGAATAATTTGGGAATAATTTAGGAGTAAATTTGGAATAAATTTGAGATAATTTGGGACGAATTTGGGATAATTTGGGGATAATTTGGGATAATGTGGGAATAATTTGGGAATAGTTTGTGAATAATTTGGGATAATCTGGGGATAATTTAGGATAATTTGGCAACAATTTGGGGATAATTTGGGATAATTTGGGGATAATTTGGGGATAATTTGGGATAATTTGGGGATAATTTAGGATTATTTGGGGAGCTCCCCACCGGGGGGGGGTCCCAAAGTGGGGGAAGGGACCCCAGAAGTGCCCGGAAGTGACGTAAGGGCCCCGCGCGGCGCTGACCAATGGGGAGCCGCGGCCACGCCCACGAGGGGCGGGGCCAGGGGAAGATGGCGGCGCCCGTGCGGGACCGGGAGGCGCTGCAGAGGCTGAACTTCCTCTTCCAGGTGCGGATTTTGGGGGAATTTGGGGAAGTTTGGGGATTTTGGGGTGGGCCCGGGGCCGGGGGGGGTTGGGGAGGGGTCCGCGCCCCCGAAATCCCCAAAAATCCCCAAAAATCCACCCGAAATCCCCCAAAATCCCCCCAAAACCCCCCAAAATCCACCCGAAATCCCCAAAAATCCACCCGAAATCCCCCAAAATCCCCCCAAAACCCCCCAAAATCCACCCGAAATCCCAAAAAATCCCCAAAGATCCACCCGAAATCCCCAAACTCTCCCAAAATCCGCCCCCCAAACCCCCAGACCTCCCTCCAAAAAACCCAATTTTCCCAAAACACCCCAGAAATCCTCCAAAAGTCCAACCTGCGCCCCGAAAAAATCCCCAAAACCCCCCAAAAAATCCCCCAAACCCCTAAAAATTCCCCAAATCCCCCAGAACTGCCTCTGAAAAGCCCCAAATTTCCCCCTATTTTCCTCAAACTCCCCCGAATTTTCCCAAAATTCCCAAATTTTCCCCCAATCCCGGCGCCTCCCTGGGCGCAGCCCCGGCCTGGCCTGGTCCTGCTGCAGCTGCCCCAAAAATCCCCAAAACCCCCCAAAAATCCCCCAGAAATCTCCCCAAAAATCCTCAGAAATCTTCAGAAATCCCCCCCAAATCCTCAAAAAATTCCAAAAAATCCCCAAAACCCTAAAAATCCCCTAAATCTTCCCCTGGAGTGCCCCAAATTTCCCGGTTTTCCCCCAAATTTACGCCGTTTTCCCAAAATCCACCAACTTCCCCCCAAAAATCCCCCCAAACCCCTAAAAATCCCCCAAATCCCCCAGAACTCTCTCTCAAATCCCCAAATTTCCCCCAATTTTCCCGAAATCCCCTAAATGTGCCCCAAAAAAATCTCCAAAACTCCACCAAAAATCCAAAAAAACCCCCCAAAATCCCCCCAAATCACCCAGAACTCCCTCTAAAAAGCCCCAAATTTTCCCCATTTTTCCCAAACGCCCCGGATTTTCCCAAAATCCCCGGATTTTCCCCAAATTCCCGAATTTTCCCAAAATCCCCTAAATGTGTCCCAAAAAATCTCCAACCAAAACTACACCAAAAATCCAAGAAAACCCCCAAAATCCCCCAAACTCCCCACGAATCCCCCAGAAGTACCTCTAAAAAGCCCCAATTTTCCCCATTTTCCCCCCATTTTCCCCGGATTTCCCGAAACGCCCGATTTTCCCGAAATCTGCGGGTTTTGCCCCAAAGCAGGCGGCGCACTGGGCGCAGCCGCGCAGCCCCGGCCTGGCGCGGTTCCTGCTGCGCACGCAGCGAGCGGCGGCGCGGCGCCTCGTGCTGCGCATGTGAGCGGGAGCGGGAGTGGGATTGGGAGTGGGATTTGGGGATTTGGGATTTGGGATTTGGGGGATTTGGGGATTTGGGGATTGGGGGATTTGGGGGAAAACTGGGGGGGTTTGGGGTTTTTTTGGGGTGGTTTGATGTGATTTTGGGTAATTTTGGGGTGGTTTAGGGGTGATTTTGGGGTAATTACGGGTAATTTTGGGTAATTACGGGTAATTTTGGGTGGTTTTGGCAGATTACGGGTAATTTTGGGTGGTTTTGGGGTGATTTCGGGTAATTTTGGCTGATTTCGGGGTGGTTTCGGGGTGATTTTGGGTGATTTTGGCTGATTTCGGGGTGATTTCGGGTGATTTTGGCTGATTTCGGGGTGGTTTTGGCTGATTTCGGGGTGATTTCGGGTGATTTCGGGTGTTTTTGGCTGACTTTGGGTCCTTTCCCCCCCAGGGCCCCGGCGGTGAAGCGCCGCCTCTGCCGCCGCTGCTGCTCCCTCCTGCTGCCGGGGGAGGGGAGCGGGGCCCGGCTGCGGGGTGGGGGAGGGAGCCGGGGGCACCTGGGGGGTCTGGGGGGGATTTGGGGGGTTTGGGGCGGGATTTTGGAAGAATTTTGGTGAATTTGGGGGAAATTTGGGGGGATTTGGGGGGATTTGAGGGGATTTCGGGAGCATTTTGGTGAATTTGGGGGAAATTTGGGGGGATTTGGGGAGGATTTGGGGGAATTTGACGGGATTTCGGGAGCATTTTGGTGAATTTGGGGGAAATTTGGTTGGAATTTTTAGGGGGAATTTTGGATGGAGAATTTGGAGGGATTTTGGGGGGAATTTTAGGACATTGGGGGGGATTTGGGGAGGATTTGGGGGGTCCTGGATTGGGTCTGGGGGTTCCTGGCGGGGATTTGGGGAGGATTTGGGGGGATTTGAGGGGATTTCGGGAGCATTTTGGTGAATTTGGGGGAAATTTGGGGGGATTTGGGGAGGATTTGGGGGAATTTGACGGGATTTCGGGAGCATTTTGGTGAATTTGGGGGAAATTTGGTTGGAATTTTTAGGGGGAATTTTGGATGGAGAATTTGGAGGGATTTTGGGGGGAATTTTAGGACATTGGGGGGGATTTGGGGAGATGTGAGGGACTTGAGAGGGATTCAGAGGGATTTTGGGTCGGTTTGGGGAATTTGGGAAGGTTTGGTGTCGATTTTGGGCAGATTTTGGGAGTTTTTTGGTGGTTGGGGTGTGTCGGTGTCTGACCACGCCCCCTGCCCCGCCCCAGGGCGTGGCCAGCCCCGCCTCGTCCTGCGCTGCTTCACCTGCGGCCGCGGGCGGCGCCTCCTGTGCCCACCTGAGCCACGCCCAGAGCCACGCCCACCCGGGACACGCCCACCTGGGACACACCCTGAGCCACGCCCACCTGAGACACGCCCAGAGCCACGCCCACCCCCGCAGGCCACGCCCACCGGTCAGTGGGGGCGGGGCCGAGGCAAATATGGCGGAGCTTGTGGGCGTGGCCAATCCCATAAAAGGAAATGTGGGCGGGGCCAGGGAAGGGCGGGGCCAATCACAAATAAGGAAATGTGGGTGGGGCCAAACCAAAATAATAAAATATGGGCGTGACCAAACCCAAATAATGAAATGTGGGTGGAGCCAAACCAAAATAATAAAATATGGGTGGGGCCAAACCAAAATAATAAAATATGGGCGGGGCCAAACCAAAATAATGAAATGTGGGTGGAGCCAAACCAAAATAATGAAATGTGGGTGGGGCCAAACCCAAATAATAAAATGTGGGTGGGGCTAAACTCAAGGAATGTGGGCGTGGCCTAACAATGACCTCACTCCCCAGGCCCCGCCCCCGTGCTCTGATTGGTCGCCGCCGCGCCGGAAGCAGCCAATCAGCCGTGCAGAAATAAACGCTTTATTCCGTAGGCGGCGATATGCTAATCCGCGCGCTCCGATTGGCTCAGCACTCGTCCTCGCCCAGCAGCGCGAAGGGGTTGGGGGCGGGGCTGGGAGGGGGCGTGGCCTGGTCTGACCCCGCCCCCTCGTCCTCGGAGCTGGGGGCGGGGTCAGGGGCGCAGGCCCCGCCCCCTGTCATGGCCGCCAGCGCCGCGGTGTCGGGGTGGAGCTCCCAACGCTCTGCGGGGATTTTGGGTCAAAAATCCACGGTTTTGGGGCTTTTCGGGCCCAAATCCCCGAGTCTGGGGGTTCGGGGCCCAAATCCCCAATTTTTAGTTTTCTTAGGTTCCAAATTCCTTCTAAATCCCCAATTTTGGGATTTTTTGCGTAGCAAAACTCCCCCAAATCCCGCCAAAACCCCAATTTCGTGCCCCAAAACCCCAATTTTGGGGTTTTCCGGGTCCCAAAACTCCCCCAGATTCCCCAAAACTGCCCCAAATCCTCCCGAAACCGCCCCGAACAGCCTCAAAGCCCCAGTTCTGGGTCCCAAATCCCTTATTTTGGGATTCCTTTAGGTACCAAATTCCTCCATTTTGGCTTTTTTAAGGTCCCAAATCCCCCATTTTTGACTTCTTTGGGTACCAAATCCCCCAAAAATCCCAATTTTGGGTCCCAAATCTCCCAATTCTGGGACTTTTTTGGTCGCAAATCCCTGATTTTTGACTTTTTTGGCTACAAAAACTTCCCCAAATCCTCCAAAACCGCCCTAAAACCTCACCAAATTGCCCCAATTTCCCAATGTTGGGTTTTTTTGGGTCCCAAATTCCGAATTTTGGGTTGTTTGGGTACCTTTTTCCCGGGAGTAGCCCGGGGGCCGGAAGCAGAGGCGCAGCCGCCCCTCGGCCGCCAGCCGCAGGAACCCCCAGACCCAAAACCCCCCAAATCCCCCCGAAATTCCCAATTTTGGGTCCCAAATTCCCAATTTTGGGTCCCAAATTCCCAATTTTGGGTTCTTTGGGTACCTTTTTCCCGGGAGTAGCCCGGGGGCCGGAAGCAGAGGCGCAGCCGCCCCTCGGCCGCCAGCCGCAGGAGCCCGTTGGCCGCGCGCGCCACGTCGTTGCGCGCCGCCCGCGCCGTCTTGTAGCCCCTCTTCTCTGCCCAGGCTGGGGGAAACGCCCCAAAAAATCAGCAAAAATGCCCCAAAAACTCAGCAGAACCGCCCCAAAAACATCCCCAAAAAATCAGCAAAAATGCCCCAAAAATGTAAAAAAAAAATCAACAAAAACACCCCAAAAATGTAAAAAAAAAATCAACAAAAGCACCCCCAGAAAGTCAGCAGAACCGCCCCAAAAACATCCCAGAAAATTCGGCAAAAACACGCCAAAAATGTTAAAAAAAAATAAAAAAAAGCACCCAAAAAAATCAGCAAAAACATCCCCAAAAAATGCGCCAAAAACGCCCCAAAAACATTAAAAAAAAATCAACAAAAGCACCCCAAGAAAATATTAAGAATATTCAGGAACATTCCGGAACATTCCGGAACATTCCGTCCCACCTTCACACAGCTCCCAGGTACATTATGTAAATATATCCTGGAATATTCAGGAACATTCTGGAACATTCCAGAACATTCCGGAACGTTCTGTCCCACCTTCGCACAGCTCCCAGGTACATTATGTAAATACATCCTGGAATATTTAGGAACATTCCGGAACATTCCGGAACGTTCTGTCCCACCTTCGCAGAGCTCCCAGGTACATAATGTAAATATATTCTGGAATATTCAGGAACATTCAGGAACATTCCGGAACATTCTGTCCCACCTTCGCACAGCTCCCAGGTACATTATGTAAATATATCCTGGAATATTTAGGAACATTCCAGAACATTCCGGAACATTCCGTCCCACCTTCACACAGCTCCCAGGTACATTATGTAAATATATTCTGGAATATTTAGGAACATTCCAGAACATTCCGGAACGTTCCGTCCCACCTTCGCACAGCTCCCAGGTACATTATGTAAATATATTCTGGAATATTTGGGAACATTCCGGAACGTTCCGTCCCACCTTCGCACAGCTCCCAGGTACATTATGTAAATATATCCTGGAATATTTAGGAATATTCCGGAACATTCCGGAATGTTCCGTCCCACCTTCGCACAGCTCCCAGGCCGTCCAGGCGCCGCCGCTGGGGGGGCGCAGCTGCAGCAGGGGGGGCAGGGCCAGGTGGGACCCCAAAAACCCCACGGCCGAGTAGGGGTCCTGCAGCTGCGCGATGGGGTACACCCCTGCCAGGACCTGGGAAAGGAGAGAAAATGGGGTACAGCCCTGCCAGGACCTGGGAAAGGAGAGAAAATGGGGTACANGGGTGGTTTTGGGTAATTTTGGGTGGTTTTGGCTGATTTCGGGGTGGTTTCGGGGTGATTTCGGGTGATTTTGGGTGATTTTGGCTGATTTTGGGTCCTTTCCCCCCCAGGGCCCCGGCGGTGAAGCGCCGCCTCTGCCGCCGCTGCTGCTCCCTCCTGCTGCCGGGGGAGGGGAGCGGGGCCCGGCTGCGGGGTGGGGGAGGGAGCCGGGGGCACCTGGGGGGGCTGGGGGGGATTCGGGAGGGATTTTGGAAGAATTTTGGTGAATTTGGGGGAAATTTGGGGGGATTTGGGGGGATTTGAGGGGATTTCAGGAGCATTTTGGTGAATTTGGGGGAAATTTGGGGGGGTTTGGGGAGGATTTGGGGGGATTTGAGGGGATTTCGGGAGCATTTTGGTGAATTTGGGGGAAATTTGGCTGGAATTTTTAGGGGGAATTTTGGATGGAGAATTTGGAGGGATTTTGGGAGGAATTTTAGGACATTGGGGGGGATTTGGTTGGAATTTGGGGAGGTGTGAGGGACTTGAGAGGGATTCGGAGGGATTTTGGGTCGGTTCGGGGAATTTGGGAAGGTTTGGTGTCGATTTTGGGCAGATTTTGGGAGTTTTTTGGCGGGTTGGGGCGTGTCGGTGCCTGACCACGCCCCTGCCCCGCCCCAGGGCGTGGCCAGCCCCGCCTCGTCCTGCGCTGCCTCACCTGCGGCCGCGGGCGGCGCCTCCTGTGCCCACCTGAGCCACGCCCACCTGAGCCACGCCCAGAGCCACGCCCACCCGGGACACACCCAGAGCCACGCCCACCTGGGCCACGCCCACCTGCGCAGGCCACGCCCACCGGTCAGTGGGGGCGGGGCCAAGGCAAATATGGCGGAGCTTGTGGGCGTGGCCAAGCCCATAAAAGGAAATGTGGGCGGGGCCAGGGAAGGGCGGGGCCAATCACAAATAAGGAAATGTGGGTGGGGCCAAACCAAAATAATAAAATATGGGTGGGACCAAACCAAAATAATGAAATGTGGGTGGAGCCAAACAAAAATAATAAAATATGGGTGGGGCCAAACCAAAATAATAAAATATGGGTGGGGCCAAGCACAAATAAGGAATGTGGGCGTGGCCTAACAATGACCTCACTCCCCAGGCCCCGCCCCCGTGCTCTGATTGGTCGCCGCCGCGCCGGAAGCAGCCAATCAGCCGTGCAGAAATAAACGCTTTATTCCGTACGCGGCGATATGCTAATCCGCGCGCTCCGATTGGCTCAGCACTCGTCCTCGCCCAGCAGCGCGAAGGGGTTGGGGGCGGGGCTGGGAGGGGGCGTGGCCTGGTCTGACCCCGCCCCCTCGTCCTCGGAGCTGGGGGCGGGGTCAGGGGCGCAGGCCCCGCCCCCTGTCATGGCCGCCAGCGCCGCGGTGTCGGGGTGGAGCTCCCAACGCTCTGCGGGGATTTTGGGTCAAAAATCCACGGTTTTGGGGCTTTTCGGGCCCAAATCCCCAATTTTTAATTTTCTTAGGTTCCAAATTCCTTCTAAATCCCCAATTTTGGGATTTTTTGCGTACCAAAACTCCCCCAAATCCCGCCAAAACCCCAATTTCGTGTCCCAAAACCCCAATTTTGGGGTTTTCCGGGTCCCAAAACTCCCCCAGATTCCCCAAAACTGCCCCAAATCCTCCCGAAACCGCCCAGAACAGCCCCAAAGCCCCAGTTCTGGGTCCCAAATCCCTTATTTTGGGATTCTTTTAGGTACCAAATTCCTCCATTTTGGCTTTTTTAAGGTCCCAAATCCCTGATTTTTGACTTTTTTGGGTACAAACCTGCCCCAAATTCCCCAAAACCATCCTAAATTCCCTCAATTTCCTGATTTTGGGGGTTTTTTTGGGTCCCAAATTCCCAGTTTTGGGTTATTTTGGTACCTGGGCCGGAAGCAGAGGCGCAGCCGCCCCTCGGCCGCCAGCCGCAGGAGCCCCCAGACCCAAAACTCCCCAAATCCCCCCGAAATTCCCAATTTTGGGTCCCAATTTTGGGTTGTTTGGGTACCTTTTTCCCGGGAGTAGCCCGGGGGCCGGAAGCAGAGGCGCAGCCGCCCCTCGGCCGCCAGCCGCAGGAGCCCGTTGGCCGCGCGCGCCACGTCGTTGCGCGCCGCCCGCGCCGTCTTGTAGCCCCTCTTCTCTGCCCAGGCTGGGGGAAACGCCCCAAAACATCAGCAAAAATGCCCCAAAAACTCAGCAGAACCGCCCCAAAAACATCCCCAAAAAATCAGCAAAAATGCCCCAAAACCATAACAAAAAATCAACAAAAACACCCCAAAAACATAAAAAACAAAATCAACAAAACCACCCCCAGAAAGTCAGCAGAACCGCCCCAAAAACATCCCAAAAAATCAGGAAAATATCCCCAAAAACACCCCAGAAATGTAACAAAAAATCAAAAAAGCACCCCCAAAAAATCAGCAAAAACATCCCCAAAAAATGCCCAAAAACCACCCCAAAAATGTAAACAAAAATCAACAAAAGCACCCCCAAAAAAATCAGAACTGCCCCAGAAACATCCCAGAAAATCAGCAGAACCGCCCCAAAAACACCCCAAAAAAATCATTAAAAATGCCCCAAAAACATCCCAAAATATCAGCAAAAACACCCTAAAAGTGTCCCAAACCCCCCAAAATTTCCCCCAGATCCCAAATATTCCCGAATAAATCCTGAAAAAAAATCCCAAATATCCCCAAATAATTACAAATAAATCCCAAACATTCCCCATTTTTCCCATCTGAAATGCCCAGAGATGCCCCAAAACCCCTGAAATCCCCCCCAAAATCTGGAATATTCGGGAATATTCCGGAACATTCCGTCCCACCTTCACACAGCTCCCAGGTACATTATATAAATATATTCTGGAATATTCTGGAATATTCTGGAACATTCCAGAACATTCCGTCCCACCTTCACACAGCTCCCAGGTACATTATGTAAATATATCCTGGAATATTCCGGAACATTCCGTCCCACCTTCACACAGCTCCCAGGCCGTCCAGGCGCCGCCGCTGGGGGGGCGCAGCTGCAGCAGGGGGGGCAGGGCCAGGTGGGACCCCAAAAACCCCACGGCCGAGTAGGGGTCCTGCAGCTGCGCGATGGGGTACACCCCTGCCAGGACCTGGGAAAGGAGAGAAAATGGGGTACAGCCCTGCCAGGACCTGGGAAAGGAGAGAAAATGGGGTACAGCCCTGCCAGGACCTNAATGGGGTACAGCCCTGCCAGGACCTGGGAAAGGAGAGAAAATGGGGTACAGCCCTGCCAGGACCTGGATGGAAGTGGAGTTAGGGTCACACCTGGGATTTTGGGGTCACACCTGGAGATTTTGGGGTTCTGGCTCACCTGGAGCTCGGGCGGGGCGCACGAGGGGAACATGAGGCCGGGGCAGGGCTGGGGGATTTGGGGGTCACACCTGGCTGGGTTTTGGGGTCACACCTGGCTGGATTTTGGGGCTCTGGCTCACCTGGAGCTCGGGCGGGGCGCGCGAGGGGAACACGAGGCCGGGGCAGGGCTGGGGGATTTGGGGGTCACACCTGGCTGGGATTTGGGGTCACACCTGGCTGGATTTGGGGTCACACCTGGCCGGATTTTGGGGTCACACCTGGAGATTTTGGGGTTCTGGGTCACCTGGAGCTCGGGCGGGGCGCGCGAGGGGAACACGAGGCCGGGGCAGGGCTGGGGGATTTGGGGGTCACACCTGGCTGGATTTGGGGGTCACACCTGGCCGGATTTTGGGGTCACACCTGGCCGGATTTTGGGGCTCTGGCTCACCTGGAGCTCGGGCGGGGCGCGCGAGGGGAACACGAGGCCGGGGCAGTCGCAGAGGCGCACGGAGCCCGTCAGGAAATGGGTCTGGAAGTAGCGGGTGCGGCCGGGGGCGCGGGACACGCCCACCGCGCCCCGGCCCAGCAGCGCGTTCAGCACCGACGACTTCCCCGCGTTCGGCAAACCTGGGCGGGGCGGGCGCACCTGAGCGCGGCCACGCCCACCCGGACCACGCCCACCCGAGCCACGCCCACCTGAGCGCGGCCACGCCCACCCGGATCACATCCACCTGAGCGCTGCCACGCCCACCTGAGCCACACCCACCTGAGCGCGGCCACGCCCACCCGAGCCACGCCCACCCGAGCCACGCCCACCTGAGCCACATCCACCTGAGCGCGGCCACGCCCACCCAGACCACGCCCACCTGAATCAAACCCACCTGAGCCACACCCACCCGAGTGCTGCCACACCCACAGTGACCACACCCAAATGACCACATTGACCACACCCCCTGAACACACCCACAGTGACCACAGTGACCACACCCAGTGACCACACCCACAATGTCCACACCCACAATGACCACACCCCCACAGATCACACCAATGACCAAACCCACAGTGACCACACCCACAAGCCACACCCAAATGACCACTGACCACACCCACAGTGACCAAACCCACAATGACCACACCCAAATGACCACAATGATCACACCCACAATGTCCACACCAATGACCACACCCAAATGACCACTGACCACACCCACAGTGACCACACCCACAGTGACCACTGACCACACCCACAGTGACCACACCCACAGTGACCACACCCAAATGACCACTGACCACCCCAGCGGCCCCGCCCCGGCCCCGCCCCTCACCGACGCAGCCCAGCGTCAGCACGCCGTGCCGGTACCGCTCCCACTGCCGGGGCGGGGCCGCGCCCCCGGGCCCCGCCCCCTCCTCCTCCTCCTCCTCTTCATCCCCGCCCGGGGGCTCCTCCCCCTCCTCATCCTC